AGAAGTATCATGTACAGCTACTCCAGCAAAAATCAATCCTACCTCTCCCAGACCCATTCACTTTTATGCTCTGCCTTTAAATTGGGAAACAAAAACAATTATCAAAAAGTTCGGGCAATTGAAAGGGTTTTTTTCCCCCTTTCCAAGGATCATATAGTCAGACTATTCTTTTTATATACATCTGTTTTAGATTCTTTGAGCTGCTAGGAACAAATTCCCACACTTGGGGAGGATCACACATAGTAGAAATGTGCTGTCTTCCAGATCTGGAGGTGGTAAAAAGTCTGAAATGAAGGGCCTGGCAGGGCCACATGCCCTCTGATGTCTGTATCTAAGGGAGGCTCCTCCTCCTCTTCTTTCTTTCACAGCTTCATGGCTTCCAGGGGTCCTTGTCCCTGGGTTCATGGCCACAGTGCTTGCTCTGCTCTGCCTTCAGACCTCCTTCTTCACCGTGAATATTGGAGTACCCTCTTTTCCTTTTTATAAGGGCACTGGTCTTTGGATTTAAGACCCATCCTAATTCATTACAACTTCCTTTTAACTGATTACATCCTATAGACTCTGTGTCCAAATGAAGCCCTGATCTGAGATTGCAGGTGGAAATGCATTGGGGTGGAGGCACGATGAATACCAGTGCATTTCAAAAACATCATGCTGTTAAAAATGAATTCTATCTTCCTCACCTCAAGGAGGCCATGTTTGACTTTATTCTCCAATGGCTCTCATCTCTACTGTATCTCACTCATTCTACTGAGAGTTACACAAACACATACCTTGACAAAAGAATGTCTAAAACAACTGGCCCCCTCTGATGCTCTTCCCTCCCTTTCTTTCTCCCTCTTTCCTCTTTTTTCTGCTTAAGACAGGGTCTCCCTACCTGAACTGGTGATCTTCCTGCCAGCACAGGGTCAAGGTCTGCTCATGAGATGTGTAGGAAGGCTTCTCTTTGGCTCATGAGATGTGTAGGAAGGCTTCTCTTTGGCTCATGAGATGTGTAGGAAGGCTTCTCTTTGGACCGGGACTCCTGTACCAGCAGCACCCTGATGTCCAGGACTAAGCTCCAGCATCAGCCTCGTGGGAACATTGGTATCCTCAGGTGCTGAAGGTGAGGTTAGGGTCAGGAGACCCATATTAGTTGAAGCTAAGAGGCACTCCAAGGGTGCTTACTTTGAAAACAAAAAACAAGGAAAAAACAACAAAGGGTAAGCAAATTCAGCAGTGGTGCTCACTAGACAGTATGTTGAAAATGAACTATGTAATTTGTGGGTGGAGATGGGAGGGAAAAATGGAAGACAGTGAGGAAAAAGGTGTATTGTCCAAAAATAAATGTAATCTTTACCAAACTTATGGAACTGTAACCCCTCTGTACACCTTTATAATAATAAAAGAAAAAAAGTGGGGCTGGGAAGGTGCCTCAGTGGTAGAGCGCTTGCCTTGCATGCCTGAGGCCCTGGGTTCAATTCCTCAGCACCACATAAAGAAAAAAGCTGGAAGTGGCGCTGTGGCTCAAGTGGTAGAGCGTTAGCCTTGAGCTGAAGAGCTGAGGGACAGCGCCCAGGCCGAGTTCAGGCTCCACGACCGGACCCAAAAAAATAATAAATAAATAAAAGAACAAAAGTGATGGTCTGTAAACCAGAAAGATCCTACCAAAACCTAACCAGGTGGCCCCCTGGGTCCAAACCATTGAAAGATGCAGCAAACACCAGCCCAAGTTAAGCCACAAAGTATTATCAAACTCATTTAGACCTAGCAACTCTCAATACCGAAGGCAAGTTTTCAATAAAAGATCATTGAATACATGGTGTTCAGTTGTTAAATGATGTTGGGAACACTGAAAAGCATTTTTTTTCCCATGCTAGGTGCCAGAGGCTTATGCCTGTAATTCTAGCTACTCTGGAGATAGAGATCTGTGGATCATGGTTTTGAAGTCAGCTTGGACAGAAAAATCTGTGAGACTCCAATCAACAAGCAAAAGCCATATTATTCTGGAAGACAAGGGGAAAAGAGATTCTAGAAGATTCATGTGGTTAGTGTGGTGGATGATACAAACTGAAACATGCCAGTGTGGAGGTGAGGGTGACTTGGGACAGAAGCTTTGCTGGTAGAGGGTAGGGGATGGGTGGAAGTGTAATTTGGGTGAGTTCTAGAGGCAACACTGAGACTACAGATGACTAAAATTATGCTGGACATTGAAGGAGATGAGACAGATGATGCAGAGTTTTTGTCACTTTTTTTTAAGAAATAAGAAATAGCTGGGCATTAGTAACTCATACCTGTAATTCTAAGTCTTCAATAAGTTGAGAATGGGAGGACCATGGTTCAAAGCTGGGTTGGACAGAACACTTCAGGTGTCATAGCTGGGCATGGTAGTGAGCTTTCATCTCCAGCTATATGGGAGATGGAATGGGGAGGAACATAGAACCAGGCCAGCCTAGGCAGAAAAGTCCAAGAGATTCCCTCTCCATAGAGGGAGATTGGATGTGGTGGTATATGCCTGTGATCCCAACAACAGGGAGCCTAAAAGTAGGTGGGTGGTAACCTATGTGCAACTTATCCTCAAATGAACCAGTGACAAACAAGGCTGGAGGAATGGTGGCATACTGAGGAGAGGTTCATCTAGCAAGGTACAAGTGTACTGACAAAAAAAGGGGGGGAGCATGTTTGCATTTGGATGAAACCAACTCAATATTGAGAAACCAATGGTGCAGGACCAAGGAACCATTATGATAGAGAAAAGCTTTCTTGGAAAGAAGAGTAAAGATTCCCAGACCCATGAAACCAAGAACAGACTGAAAAAAAAAATTAGGTGGGTTGTTTTTTTTTTTTAGAACTTTGGAACATAACCAAAGGCTACAATAATCCTACAAGCACTTACTGAAGGAATAAAAGCTGGGCATCAGTGTGAACAGTGGGCTTTGTGGAATTTTAACTTGAGCTATTCCCACAGCTCTCTCTAGTGGTATTGAGAGCATCTCAGCCTGGAAGCCACTGTGGGATCAGAATGATTTTTAAGCTTGAGGGAAAAAAAATACTATCCTCAGGAAACTGCCCTCATATGACTTACCTGAAAATTTCCTGGAAAAAAAAATTTTTTTTTTTTGGTCCAGTCATGGGGCCTGAACTCTGGGCCTGGGCTCTGTCCCTCAGCTCTTCAGCTCAAGGCTAGCACTCTACCACTTGAGCCACAGAGCCACTTCCAGTTTTTTTCTTATGTGGTGCTGAGGAATCGAACCCAGGGCCTCAGGCATGCAAGGCACTCTACCACTGAGCCACCTTCCCAGCCCTCCTGGAAAATACTTGCTTACTTGACCAAGATTGTTGACTCCAGCTTGCTATGAACTGCCTATCTCCGGACAGTTGGTCAAAATTTGTTTTGCATTGCATCTATCTGGTGCGGTAGTAGTTATTGGAACACATGAATGAACAAAGACAGTTTTAATTAGTAAATAAGATGGGAAGAAGGCACTTTGGGTGGCTTCAAATAATTCTGGGAACTGGAAGGCCACACACAAATTCAAGACTGTGTGCACATCCAGGAAAGAGCTAGGAAGGCTCTGGTGTCTCACTCTGGCTGGTCAAGGGGCTTGGAGTAGACAGCAACTGAGGATCAAAGTCAAGTTGTTAACTGGCTGGTAGACCAGTCTCAGCAGTGGTCAAACATGATTAAGAACACAAACATCACTTGGAGAAGAGAAATATGACTTCAGATTTTCCTGAACTTTAGAAAAATTTATTTGGACCATATGATAACCCTATCACTGTTAAGTCTAACCTTTACTTTCCTGATATAGCAAATAAAACAAGACAGAAGTTGCTTTCAACACTGTGACACTATTTTCTTACACTTAAGATACCCCAAAGAATAAAGATTTAAAACCAAGAGAAAAAAGAAACAATGAAAACAATAGTCTTTCCCTGTGTTTACAGACCTTAGTTTTGTTCTTTTTTTTAAAATCTCCCAGTCAAAACAACCACACACACCTCTTGAATTCTTACAGTGAGGATTGAACATAATTGTGAAAAACATTTCTTTCCCAAACTGCCAGAGATAGATCTTAAAGAAAGATCATAACATTACACAAAATTAAAAACATGTCATTTCTTCTCTTGAAAAAAACATTCATGAATTTGGTCCATGACCCCAAAAAACTTTGCTTTCATGAGAACTTGTTTACATATGTACTCATGCATATTTTTGTAAGTTTTGCTTAATAAACAATGATGTTGGTATTTGCCCACTAACACTTCAGGGTCAATGTATTTTAAGTTCCAGGTCTGTTCAAAACCTTAATTTATAAAATACAAATCCTTTTTCTTCAGCATTCCAATGTCGGAATTAGTGTGTCCATGAACTCAGCTGAATACAGTTCTCTATGATAATATGGAAGCAACAATATGTAACACAAAACATTGAATGACATTCAAATCTTCAAAAGCAAACTGGGATCGAATACATTGTTCTTTACAATATGTTGATAGCACAGCTAAAGATTTCTATAATGATGTGCAGATTCTTTTGATGACTGGTGACTGCTGCAGTAGACCTTAAACACCAACCTCTTCAATCTTAGCCAAAACAACAGGTCTAAAATGGCACTGCTCTAAGCACTATCAACATAAGATTTTTATAAAACTGTGCCCAAGTCAATTTATTTGATACAGCCTTTAATCCAAGCATGGGAGGCTGACAAAATTATTCCTATAAATTTGAAGACAGCCTAGGTTAAACATGCCCACTCCCCAACCAAAATGTTTTGGTCAAGTAAGAGACCTGTGAAAACAGCACATACATGGTTGGAAAAACTTAATCTTGAACATAAGCAGTTTGTTTCGTCAGTAGATTAACTTCAACTAATAGTAACAAAAGGGAAGCTGACGTTCCTTAAATCTCCAGTTCGATGTACTCACTCATTCAGTCAAACTGCAGGAGAGTCTTCATTTACTCTCAAAGGTGTGGCAGCACTCAGTATCACACCGCGCCCCTCGGCAAAATACCAAGGTCACTGGCTGTTTTCTTCCGCACCGCCTTTGCCACCTGCGCCCCTCTGGCAGTTACTGTTTGCTCGGCACATGGTGCAGGAGGGCTCTCTAAATGCCTCGAAGAAGAGCTTCATGGCTTCCTGGTGTCTGGAACACATCTCCTGCTCTCTCCCCCTGTGGACGAGATGATCGCCAGGGCACATCTGGCGGATTATCTGCACCATGTTGCCTAGCTGCAGGTTAGGACGGAGGTTGCGGCGCGTGAAGGTCTGCTGGCACTGGGGACAGGTGAACTTGCGAGCAGAAGGCGGGGAAGAAGACAGGTCGCTGTCAGAGCTCAGGTATTCCTCCTCGTACTCCATAGCGTCCAAGGCATCCATGAACTCTTCAGGATAGATGGTGATTCTCAGGTCGCGTCCCGGGGCGTCGCCGCCACCGCCGCTGCCGTCACTGCTGGGGCCTCCAGGCTGGTGTCTGTCTGCAGCAGCCGGGCCGGCGTCGCCCTCGTTCCCGCCGACCTGCGCCCCGGCACCGGCCTGGTTCTGGAGAGCGCCTTCTCGAGAATCCCCCAGGTAGAACACCTCGCGAAGGGAGCCATCCAACCCGCCAACGGCCCCCCTCTCCTCCTCCTCCGCCACCACTTCCTCCTCCTCCGCCACCACTTCCTCCTCCACCACCACTTCCTCCTCCTCCGCCACCACTTCCTCCTCCTCCGAGTCCCCCTCATCCTCTTCCCCCTCCAACTCGGACTCCGAATCGTCCTCCGACTCCGAGTCCTCCCACTCGTCATCGCGCTCCTCACCCCACAGCCGGGTCACGCATGCGCGGCAGAAGTTGTGCCCGCAGCCTATGGACACGGGGTCGCTGAGGTAATCCAGGCAGATGGCGCACAGGGCTTCCTCCTGAAGCATCTGCACGGGGCCGGGAGCCGAGTCCGGTGCGGCCATGTTGCAGCTCGGTGAACAGCCGGGGCGAGCCGGCCTCGGGGCTGCGCCGCTGCTCGGGGCGGCTCGGGCTGGCG